CGAATTATTCGCTTGACGCTGACAAGAATGCATCACAGCTGCAAGAACTCAAGCCTGAAGGACACTGAACAACAGCAACAGCAGGATCAGAACCCGAACCGGTCCTCATCCACGCCAGTTGTCCTGAATTCAGGGATATAGTGTTTGCCACCACAAGAGCCCGGATCCAGAGGTGGTGGGGTGTGGGAAGGGGTGGGGTGGGGGTGGGGGTGGGAAACTACCCCCACCCTACCCCCAGCCCTTTTGAAAACCAAATGTAGTAGTCCTTGCTACTTCACCTCGCAGCGCCCAACCCTGGTTCTTGCGTTGAACATTTACTTCAGCACCTTCGCTTTTCCTCCACATTTTCATCAGAAGAGAGACCGCCTCCGTGGTCTAGTGGTCTAGTGTCCGCCCGGTGAGCGGAAGGTCCTGGGTTCGATCCCCGGCCGCGTCATACCAAAAGACGTTAAAAGATGGCACTTGTTGTTAACCTGTCTGGCATATGATGGGCTAAAACAAGTACTGGCCGGCTCGGAATCAGTACACTGTGTCTCAGTTGGGTATTCATGTTAAACTGTGGCATGGTATCTCAGTGAGCTATACACACACACACACACACACACACACATACGTGCATGTAATTAGATGAATAGTTTAAGATCAACCAAGCGCTTGATATAGGCACCAGCATCTGGACCTAAACGTCGCATTGAACGAATAAAGAAGTTGAAATTAACAAGTCAATTGTCTTCAATATAAGTTCTATGCTATCTCAAGTATGTTGACAATCGCGACATTTAAGGTCTTTGAAAGGCATTTAGATGTTGGGAAAACATGAATACATGACACTTTTTATGGATAGCGATGTCTTTTATTCTTTGTCACGAGGGGCGGTCGGGTAGCCTGGTGGTTAAAGCGTTCGCTCGTCACGCCGAAGACCCGGGTTCGATTCCCGACATGGGTACAATGTGTGAAGCCCATTTCTGGTGTCCCCCGCCGTGATATTGCTGGAATATTGCTAAAAGCGGCGTAAAATCAAACTCACTCACTCACTCTTTGTCGCGACGTTTCAGAGCTGCTTCTTGCTCCTTCATCAGTTAAATGCTTAGTAAGTGCATATAAAGGATGGATTGATTGATGGATGGATGGATACACAAGCCCAAAGATGAGCTGTATAAGGCCGATGGGATAGAGCTACGCTCATGAAAAGAAACTGCCAGTACCCTCTATACACGTATATACACGTATATACGTGTTATACACAGATAGTAAACACGCGCATCACACCCCGGGGAAGATCAATCTGTGTACGTAGGATATACTTGGAATATATACCACACAATGCAGGCATGCACACGGGAGAATCTTACTTAGCGGCGCGCCTTTGTACTTTCGCGGTGTTGTCATCGTATTAGATATACATATCTCCGCCGAGACGCGCCATATAAACAACGCATGTGATTGGCTGGTATAAACCACGCCCTCTACATGTCATATGTTAATATTAAACTGAAGACTAGCACGTGTTCCTTTGTTTTTATATTCCGAGTGCAAATGAATCTTCGACCTAAACAAACACACGAGAGAAATTTAAATTTGATTACCAAACAATTATTCGGGCAAGAATTTGAAAAGAACTCGATTCAGATTAATCAATCTGAGGTTATCAAATAAGAATATACCTCGTCTGAGCCGACTTAACGGTCACATCACCAAGGAAGCTAATATTTTTTAAAATAATGCTTCTTTTTAAGTCATATAGTCGGAAGCATTTAACTTTGTTTTAGCATTACGAATACAAGAACAGAAAAACGGGCGTCAGTCTTAATTACTTATTATTGGAGATTTAACGTGCGCGTTCCTACATTATGCGTATTTCGCACACGGGCGCTTCACTCTAACTTACCTACTTCAGTTGGGGATTTTACGTGCGCTTTCCGACTGTAAGCGGATGTCGCTTCAGTCTTCCGTTCATAACTTGACATATGCCATGTTTGGTTTGGTTTGTTGTTTTACGCCGCACTCAGCAATATTCCAGCTATATGACGGCGGTCTGTAAATAATCAAGTCTGGACCAGACAATCCAGTGATTTACATCATGAACATCGATCCACGCAATTGGGATCGATGACATGCATCAACCAAGTCAGCGAGCCTGACCACCCGATCCCGTTAGTCGCCTTTTACGACAAGCATAGTCGCCTTTTTACGGCTAGCATGGGTTGCTAATATGCCGTGTAGGAAGAGGGCGTGGTGTAAGCTAGCCAATCACACGCGTTGTTTATATGGAGTAAACAACATGTGGTGGCGTTCGTTTTCGGTTCGGAAATGGATCAAAGGACCCGCCCCCATGTAAAACATGTGCGTACTGTATAAACACTATCGCCACTTTAATGGTTTACGTGTAGCCTACTCTTGGGGAATTATAGATCTGATCCATTAAAACAGATTCTTTGTAAATAAACTCATCAGCTGTTGAACATGAGTGATATTAATCGACAAATCAAATACTATTTAGTCAAGATGACTCTGCCGGCAAAAGGGGCTAAAACAAGGACTGGTCGGCTCGGAGTCAGTATACTATGTCTGAGTGGGGTATTCATGTTAAACTGCGGCATGGTATCTCAGTGTGCTAGCACTATAAAATCGGCATTAGTCCGGACTAGTACAAGCAGCCACACACACGTGCATGCACATCGCCATATAAGTGCTATAATCTTGAACGCGACATTGAACCCCATTTCAGCTCACCTAAGGATTACAGAAAACGTGAGATTTTGAGGCGTTACATAATTCTTAAGTGGGGGTTGATTAAAACCGCTTCGGGTAGCCTTGTTGTTAAAAAGCGTTCGTTCGTTCAGCCGAAGACCCCCGACATGGGTTCAATGTGGAATGCCATTTCTGGTGTCCGCAGCCGTGATATTACTGGAATATTGCTAAAGCGGCGTAAGACCTCACTCACTCACTCACTCACTCACTCACTCACTCACCAGTCTCAGTTGGTTAATTGTGGTCACGTGTGGCGTAAGACCTCACTCACTCACTCACTCACTCACCAGTCTCAGTTGGTTAATTGTGGTCACGTGTGGCGTAAGACCTCACTCACTCACTCACTCACCAGTCTCAGTTGGTTAATTGTGGTCACGTGTGGCGTAAGACCTCACTCACTCACCAGTCTCAGTTGGTTAATTGTGGTCACGTGTGGCGTAAGACCTCACTCACTCACCAGTCTCAGTTGGTTAATTGTGGTCACGTGTGGCGTAAGACCTCACTCACTCACTCACTCACCAGTCTTAGTTGGTTAATTGTGGTCACGTGTGGCGTAAGACCTCACTCACTCACTCACTCACCAGTCTCAGTTGGTTAATTGTGGTCACGTGTGGCGTAAGACCTCACTCACTCACTCACTCACTCACCAGTCTCGGTTAATTGTGGTCACGTGTGGCGTAAGACCTCACTCACCCACCCACCCACTTACTCACTCACTTACTCACCAGTCTCAGTTGGTTAATGGTGGTCACGTGTGGCGTAAGGCCTCACTCACTCACACACTCACTCACTCACCAGTCTCAGTTGGTTAATGGTGGTCACGTGTGGCGTAAGACCTCACTCACTCACTCACTCACCTACCCACCCACTCACTCACTCACCAGTCTCAGTTGGTTAACTGTGGTCACGTGTGACGTAAGACCTCACTCACTCACTCACTCACTCGCATTGTGGTCACGTGTACGGGTCTGGCAAGTAAACTGAAGTGCAAAAGTGTCCACTTGAGGATTGGATTTGACCAAAATAATACAAAACAACACAAGGCTGAAAAATGTTTTGAGACACTCATTTGTAGGATGCATGCTACCGCCCACAATACTCATATCAAATATCACCATCGAATAACCTTTGTGTTTGTAGCATTTTTAGCCATGCGCACCATCCAACCAACATACGTGTAACCTTTTTGTTTGTTTGTTGTTTTAACGCCGCACTCAAGCTATATGACGGCGATCTATAAATGTTTCGGTTTGGACGAGACAATCCAGTGATTGACATCATGAGCATCGATCCACGCAATTGGGATACGATGACATGCATCAACAAAGTCAGCAAGCCTGACCACCCGATCCCGTTAGTCGCCTCTTACAAGCACAGTCGCCTTTTACGGCAAGCATGGGTTGCTGAAGACCTATTCTAACCCTGAGTTTAATGGGTGTATACATTTTAGTAGAAATGAATAATTCTGAGAATTTAGTGCAATAACAGCAATAATGATTAGTATCATAAAATACAACGCGCTACCACAGTCAAAGTTCCTCAGGGGTTGTATCGAGATTAAATATTCTTCAGCGACAGCTACAATACCAGATATTTTTTTATATTTTAAAAAAAAGAAAAACACCTTGCAACAATTTAGTTTTTGTGGCAGGATACTTCTTCTTTTTTCAAGCGCCTAAAGCATAATTATTTTTGTTTAGAATTTTCGGGGAGAATTTAGTTTTTTCTCGATAAAATCCCAGTCTCTCTCTCTCCCCCCCCCCCACCCCCCCACCCCCCACCCCCCCCCCCCCCCCCCCCCCCCCCCCACCCCACCCCTTCGCAAATTGCATGTGCCATGGCTTGTAAACCGACGTTGAGGACATCGGATCTTCAGTGACGGTGCCTGTTTCAGCCTCCCCCCACCCCCCACCCTCCCCCCAACCACCACGCAACCCACCCCCACCCCACACACATACCTGCCCCTTTTCACCCCCCTCCCCCCTCACGATCCGCACGTTCGCCCGGGCAAGTGTCACCTGATTGGCCGGTCATAAATTGAAGGTGGGAGAGGTGGGAGGTTGGTTGGCAGGATCTCTACATTTGTATCCTTAGGGAGTACAGCTATGTGGGGACTATCTATATCATAACATTTTGCGATTATCTACAGGTGTACGTACTTGATAAGTATATATAAGAGCTGTGTGGCCATGGTTGTGTGATATAATAACAAATACTCACCAACAATATGCTTCATTGTAAAAAATGAAACAACCTGACCACCCTTGCCAGTGCTGAAATGGGTTCGCCTAAAATACTACCATTACTACAAGGGATGTTAATTTCACTCGTGTCAGCTGTTTTCCTCGGTATTACTGCATTCACGATTTCTTGTCCACACAACCATGGCAGGCTATTCCCCTTTCAAAGACTACCTTGGATTTTCAGGTCTTCTTTTCTCCGAAGAAACGGAAACTAACCCCGGTCGCGGAGACCCATTCAAGTTCCATCGTGAAGGGTCACCCGTGCAAATTGGAGCCGAACGATCGGTTGTGCAACCAACATCAGTGGTCAAGGACCGTCCCCGGAAAACATCCCTGTCGTCTATTGAGACCGACGTCAGTGACGACACTTGCGCCAGTCGGGACAGCGAGTCAAGCTTCAGCTTCTGCCTTCCGAACATCCCCGAGTTCTCCCGACCGATTCTACCTCAGAAGCAAAGCCAATCCGTGCCAACGTCGCCAACGAACTCCGAACAGCGTTTGAACCCAAGCCCGTGTCTAGAAGTTGAAGATCGAACCTTCCCTGCTCCTGATTATGATCGAGAGGACGTCTTATCGTCTGCTGCTGATCTTCGAAGCTCCCTACATCGTCACGACGTCTCCGCAGCCGCGTCAACCGTCACAGGTGTGATGGAGAAGCTGGTTATGGACGCTGTGGAGAAGAAAATGAGGGACTCAGCCGAAAAATTCAACCGTCCTACTGTTTGCGTTTTCTGTCAGCGCAATGGAGAGACAGTTGAGTATTACTCGACTCATCTTCTGAAGGACAACAGAGGCAAAGTGATATGTCCAGTCTTGAGGAAGTACGTATGTCCGAAATGTAGCGCCACGGGGGACAACGCGCACACTGTCCGCCACTGCCCCCTGTCCAGGAGTGCGCTGTCCATTGCGGATACATTCAAGACCCCTCGGACTAGCTGCGGCTTCAGGAAGAGTACATTCTAGAAGAAACGTACGACTGGTGTCACCATGGTAACGGAATCAACGCTATCGAATACGGACTTGCGAGACTTTATCAAAGGGACAAACATTAAATATTACTTTTGGGGAAGCTGCTGCTTGTGAAATATTATTTGAAGAAACGATTCATCTTTATGTGGAATACGTAGCAGACGATACTTTTATGGACGAAGAAACGTACTTTGTGAAGCACTGATTCAGCTGATATCTGTTTCCGTCAACCGAGAGCAGACGACACTTCCTGATGACGTCATCCGATTTGGCCTGGAACGTGTATTGGCTGTTGAAAGCCGATCATACTGGACGCTGACGTCATCAAATTTGGCCTGGGACGTGTATTGGCTGTTGGAAGCCGAATATACTGGTAGATGACGTCATCAAATTTGGCCCGGAACGTGTATTGGCTGTTGGAAGCCGAATATACTGGTAGATGACGTCATCAAATTTGGCCCGGAACGTGTATTCGCTGTTGGAAGCCGAATATACTGGTAGATGACGTCATCAAATTTGGCCCGGAACGTGTATTCGCTGTTGGAAGCCGTAATCGTACACTGCAATGCATTTCAGACCGACCTTACAGGTGGTCATCGTGGACGTTTATATCATTGCAACAAAAGGATATGTTTTACACTGACTGACATATTCTAGAGAAACAATTCCTTGAAAAGAAACGTATGCGTTCGGCTTTTATGACAGGTTCTATATTAGAGACTGGTCAGTTGTTACGGGCATGGGGTGGGGTTCACAGGTTTTTTTAGATGTACTGAAACTAGTAGTAACCCCCTCACCCCACCCCCACCCCCGCGATTTGTAATGTTTTAGGTGACCCTCCGCTGATGATTTTCGTCTTTTTAGTATTTCTAAGTATACCTCTATAAAGTTATTTGAGCGTCCTATTATACTTTTTTTTGACAGATTATAAAACATCTTACGTTTTAGAATGACCATGTTCTCATATTTCTTCATTATCTTGCCTTTAATTTGTTATTATTACAGTGTTTATTGCTGTGAAATTTCCAACTATCTTTTTTTCAATTCTTTTGAATATTGTTTCACCCTATAATGACACTGGTTAGCAAATGTGCTCACTGTTTCTTTCGTTCTTTGATATCGCAATTATCAACATGTCATGTCATTGCTGCAAAAATATCACTGGAGCATGTTTTTAATATTATGAAAATCATATTCCCTTGGATCAAGTGTAAATCAGGATTTTGGTGCTTTGATAATGATATAGATATTGAAGAGTAAATTGTTATTGGTCATTTCCAATGTTACTGTTATTGTAAACCTGTAATAATGATATTCTTTGTTTATTTTAGTTTCTCATAAAATATCCTTCAAAAGCATGCGGTACCTCGAAATGTGTTTACAACTATTAAGAGTGTAATATTACTTTTATCAAACACCTACCACATCACTGATCTTTTAAAATTTATTAAAAGAATATTATATTTTGTTTATAGCCCAACTAAGGCACCAACAGTATTTGATTAAGTCGCTATCTACTTTTATGTTATCCATATTTTATTCTTATCATATTATCAATACTATAGATCATATAAGTAATGCGACAGCGACGTGGTTGTAATATACTGAGGGGCAAGAGAAACTATACCTCTCAGTTGATTTTATCATATGTTTGATTTTCAGTTGAAAATACCTTAAGTTAGCGATATTATGAAAATATTCTACTCCATCTTAGTCCACACTCAAAGGATAATTCTACAAGGTTTTTATTTTTTTAAATATAATTTGATTTAATTTTTTTTTTAAACGAATACATGTTTTCGCATAATACACAACTACTGTTGGATGTCTTAAATCTTCTCTTTGAAAATCAATAAATATGCTTGTTTCGGCACAAATTTACAACATTGTAGACATGGTAGCGGTCACGTGGTTATCCAAGTCTTCCTTAAACCAACTTGTTTTCACACAAATTATCCAGCCACAGATTACTTTTTACGTACTGTTGCAGGAATGAATGATGGTTGAATAGTTTAATCAAATTTAACAACAGTTCTTTTAATTTCAAACAGTTTCGAACAAACTGGGTATTCTTTCTTTTGTCTCTCAGTTTCTGTTGATACACTGCATGTTTATTAAATTATGATGTATTTTACTCGCTAGATATACTAGTACGTTGGTTTGTGGTCAACATCTTCATCAAGACATAATATCATGATGCTCTGCCATTTCATGTTCTTTGGACCTTGCATGGTTGCCATTTTACGGAATTATACTACTTTTAAATTTATAAGTTTTGTATTTATCTATTTACATGGAACTGAATATATACAAATATTGACATACGTGGTTAAATATACCACATGTTGTATAATTTGTTATTTTAGGCTTATATAGTATTATACACCCATTGTTTTATGACCTATGTTAATGCATGTTAGGTATAGGTTAGATGTGATATGACCAATGAAAATGTATGTTAGATGATTACAACGCTGTTTGATTGGATAGTGACTTTCTGATTCAGTTTTATATTGATTTTTTACTGATTAAAATTATAATTGATTCTATTGTGCCTTCTTGCATGCATCACTCTGTTATCAGTAGAGAGGTCCGCTAAGTGTATGTACTTAGTTAATTATAGAATAAATCGCGTTTGTCACACTTTTGTTGAGCAATTGATTTGTGTTTGTGTGTTCCTGTGTTGTACGGATGAGTCGAAACTCCATGAAGTTAAGCCAGACCTCGTGACAACTCGTGTCTGTACGAGACAAGCAGAAGGACCTTGCAGGTTACGAAAAGGAGTGATATTGTTTTATTGAGTGAGTGAAACGCTTTGAACATTATTCCAGTTATATTACGGCGTGTCAACTTGATGTGGGTGGAAAGCCCGAAGTGATGTCAGGTCTGAGACGTTTACCATTTTGGTGAAACCCACGAGGACGGGTATGGTGCTTACAAACCTAGAAACATAATCGGGGGGAACCGGATTCGAACCCACAATCATAAGTGACGGGCGTGCCCAAGGGACGCAACTCTACACAGCGAATTGCGGCCTCCCAGACGACTGGGGGGCCACCCGTGACCCCAGATAGTGTGTATTGTGAGATCCCACTCTGGCCAAGTTTTTATTCAAACGTATATTTTTGTTTATCAAAATGTCTATCGGGTTCCGTCTATCGGGGTTTTGTCTATCGGGGTCTTGTCTGTCGAGATATTGTCTATCGGGGTTTTGTCTAAACGAGGTTCTGTCTATCGGGGTTCTGACAATCAGGGTTCTGTCTATCGGGGTTTTGTCTATCGGGGTTCTGTCTATCGGGGTTCTGTCTATCGGGGTTCTGACAATCGGGGTTCTGTCTATCGGGGTTCTGTCTATCGGGGTTCTGACAATCAGGGTTCTGTCTATCGGGGTTCTGACAGTGAGGGTTCTGTCGATCGGGTTTTGTCTATCGGGGTTCTGTCTATCGGGGTTCTGACAACCATGGTTCTGTCTATCGGGGTTTTGTATATCGGGGTTTTGTATATCGGGGTTCTGACAGTCAGGGTTCTGTCTATCGGGTTTTGTCTATCGGGGTTCTGTCTATCGTGGTTCTGACAATCATGGTTCTGACAATCAGGGTTCTGTCTATCGGGGTTCTGTCTATCGGGGTTTTGTAAATCGGGGTTTTGTATATCGGGGTTCTGACAGTCAGGGTTCTGTCTATCGGGGTTTTGTCTATCGGGGTTCTGTCGATCGGGTTTTGTCTATCGGGGTTCTGTCTATCGGGGTTCTGACAATCAGGATTCTGTCTATCGGGGTTCTGTCTATCGGGGTTTTGTCTATCGGGGTTCTGTCTATCGGGTTTTGTCTATCGGGGTTCTGAGTAGGTCCCAGCAGCCTGTGTGGAGCATAGTAAGTCCTGCTATACTGATGACCGGTGGGCCTCAATGTAGGTGAGTGAGTGAGTGAGTTGGGTTTAACGCGCGACAGTATTCCAGTTACATCACGGGGTGTCAGCTTAATGTGGGAGGAAAGCCCGAAGTGATGCAGGTCTCAGACGTTTACCACTTCGGTGAAACCCACGAGCACGGGTATGGTGCTGACAAACCTAGAAACATAATCGGGGCGAACCGGGATTCGAACCCACAATCATAGGTTTCTGGCGTGCCCAGAGGACGCAACTCTAATAGGTCACCAGCAACCCATGCTTGCGGAAGAGGCGACTATGCTTGTCGAAAGAGGCGACTAACGGGATCGAGTGGTCAGGCTCGCTGATTTGGTTGATGCATGTCATCGTATCCCAATTGCGTGAATCGATGCTCATGATATCAATCACTGGAATGTCTGGTGCAGACTCGATTATTTACAGACCGCCGTCGTATATAGCTGGAATATTGCTGAGTGCGGCGTTGAACAACAAACAAACAAACAAGACGGTCCCGGAAAGTTTGATTCGAGCCGTTCATTTTACATCGATTTAGCAATTCTGGAACAGTCTATAAGGGAGTGCGGCGTTAAACAACAAACAAATAAACAAACACTCAGAAAACCTAGGAACCCATCCTCAACTTACTTATTTATATCACGTTTACTAAAACTAGCTTCCCATTCCGCTCTTAAAATTATGGTAAAAAAATATCTATTTGCTTTGATACATTGTCAAAGCTCTCCCAGAGAAATGTCAGCAAATTTGCCCTGGTACTGTTTCAGAGTACATGTATCAAAGCTATCGGGTTTCATCTGGCACAGAGATTGTCACATCAAGGTCCGAGCTCACGCGGGAAACCACTATAGCACGTGCTCTTCTCGTGCGCACGTGCATTTTGGCACGTAGCAAAAGATTGGATCTTATATTTAAGGGATTTAAGGGATTTAAATACCATCACGTGGCGAAACAAAAGCAGTATCTATATAACGACAGTTTTTACAAATGGTCGAGTCTGGACCAGGCACACCAGTGTCATTTTGTTTTGTTTGTTTGTTTGTTTGTTGTTGCCGCACTCAACAATATTCCAGCTCTATGACGGGGGTCTGTAAATAATCTGTAGCCTGTATAATAATGACAAATAAACTGCTTTGCTACATAATTGGTAGAATAGCTTTTCAGCTTGCCGTAAAAGGTGACTATGCTTGTCGTAAAAGGCGACTAACGGGATCGGGTGGTCAGGCTCGCTGACTTGGTTGATGCATGTCATCGATCCCAAATGCGTGGATTGATGCTCATGATATCAATCACTGGATTGTCTGGTCCAGACTCGATTATTGACAGATCGCCGTCATATAGCTGGAATATTGCTGAGAGCGGCGTTAAACAACAAACCAACCAACCAACCAACCAACCAACATAATTGGCAATGTTTTCATCTTCAAAGTTTATTTATCACCTGTACACGGAGGCAAAAGTAATACTTTTTTATAGCCTCTAACAGGAGTTAGATATTACGGTTCACACTGTCGGCATCACCGGAAGACTGGATGTTGTCGACATCATATCTGTAACACAAAGCAGAGTCATTCGTCACCACTCGCATCTTTCCGTAACCTGTAATCACCATTCGGTTTGTTCCGTAATGGTACGAATCATTCGTGACCAACTCGTGTTATTCCGGGACAAGCCGAATAGCGACTCGTGCCCCTCACATGGCCATTTTTGCGACCGGGATCCGTCTTAGCGCAAACGGGCATACCTAAAACAATTGTCAACTCTTTGCCTAATGGTTCACATATATTTCCCCATATATTATATATATTTCAGATGCAATTTAAAGCACATCGGGACATGTGGATTTATACAGTATGTTTGATCACATGAAACTGTGTCTTGGGTATATTTTTAGATGCAAGACATATGTAAAATCAAAAAATATTTCTGAGGGGTTCTTTGACCAAGAACTTGAAATCATACGCGCATTCTGATTGGTTTGTCGTATTTTTGCACATAACATTCATCGATAGGGGGACGAGTCATCTTGCAGGTTACGGAAAGGGGCGAGTGGTGACGAATGGAATCGAAGCATGGCGTGGAGATGACTGGCTGTTTTTCTGTGCCAGGCGTTTCTACTCCTCTAGTGGTTATATTTCATTATTAATTGATTAATGGTGAGTGAGTATTGTTTAACGCCGCTTTTAATAACAATATTCTAGCAATATCACGGCGGAGGACACCAGAAATGGGCTTCACACAATCTACCCATGTGAGGAATCGAACCCGGGTCTTCGGCGTGACGAGCGAACACTTTAACCACTAGGCTACCCCAGCGCCCCAATTGATTACTGGTTCCGCCGACCTAAAGGTTCACAAATGTGGTATATCATATAAATTTGAGAAGTCTGTTTTCCTCCCATCGTATCTGCTGATAAATTTCAGTACATTCCAACATGGTAAGGGAAGTAACTCGTTTGAAATACTCCGTTTAAAAAGGGGAGGAAGGTAGCCTAGTAGTTCGTACGTCACGCTGATGCGCTGGGTTCTATTTCTAACATTTGTATAATGTGTGAAACCCATTACTGGCGTCCCGTCTCGTAATCTTGATAAAATGTTGCTTAAAGTGGCGTAAAACCCAACTGCTTCACACCCAGACAAGAATTAAGCACTCGTTCATCAGACACCGCGAGTCTTTCCTACAATATACAATAAACTACGTTTATAACGAACACGCTTTTAAAGAGCTGCCGGGTATAACGAACATATTGTTTGGCCCCGACCATTTGTTATATATATGCTGTACATATGCTTATTACGACTGACTGACTGAGTATGATTTTACGCCGCTTTTAGCAATATTCCAGCAATATCACGGCGGGGGACACCAGAAATGGGCTTCACACATTGTACCCATGTCGGGAATCGAACCCGGGTCTTTGGCGTGACGAGCGAACGCTTAAACCACTAGGCTACCCGACCGCCCCGGCTTATTACGAACTAAAATTAGTGGCCCCTTTCAGTTCGTTATAACCGTAGTTTACTGTACCATCAAATGAAGCTACGTTCCCCATTCACCAAGAAATCTTGCGACCGAAATGCTAAAAATTCAATGAGTGAAGGACCGCCTCCGTGGTTAGTGGTAGAGAGAGCGGAAGGTCCGGGGTTCGATCCTCGGTCGCGTCATACCAAAAGACGTTAAAATATGGTACTTCTTACCCTGCCGGGCGCTCAGCATTAAGGGGCTAAAACAAGGACTGGTCGGCTCGGAGTCACTATAATGTGTCTGAGTGGGATATTCATGTTAAACTGCGGCATGGTATCTCAGTGGGCTAGCACTATAAATCGGCATCAGTCCGGACTAGTACAAGCAGCCACACACACGTGCATGCACGTCGCTATATAAGTGCAATAATCTTTGACGCGACGTTAAACGCAATTTCACCTCACCAACGTTCATGTGCGAAAACACAATAAAGTCTTCCTACCGTATTCACAAATAAAGCCGTAAGTGTCCCAGAAAACGCCGCATGGCAGTTCTATCCATTTTCCATCGACGGATCGAAGCAGAGCACAATCCTCCGCAAAACCCAGTATTCCTCCATGGTCGCGTTCCCAGTTGCTGTAGGACGTTGTGCTGGCTGGGGAAACAAACACGGCGTCATGACAACCAGGGATCCTATCAGCCCCATACCCGGAGACTAAAATATATATTCACATCGCTCAACAACTACAATATATACGGTTTGGAAGCGGCCAGCCATTAGATATCCAGGGAGTGGGGGCGGTTATGGATAGGGAGGCTGTTCTGTTTTTCTTGTGTTCTGTTCCCGATAATGCTGGACTGAAAAGAATGAGTGAGTGAGTGATTTGGCAATATTTCTGGAATATCAGAGAATGTCAATTTGTTGTAGAAAATTCAAAGTGTTCAATCAATTTGCAAACGATGTAAGTTGGTGCCTAGAAGTGAGAATCCAAATTCTCCTGTTAACATTTTCCCAGCCTTAAGTGAGAGAGTGAGTTTGGCCAAACACCGCTTTTAGCAGTGTTTCAGCTTTAACATGGCGAACGTGAAGACCCCGGGTTATAATAGGTCTCCAGCAACATATGCTTGCGGGAAGAGGCGAATATGCTTGTCGAAAGAGGCGACTAACGGGATCGGGTGGTCAGGCTCGCTGATTTGGTTGATGCATGTCATCGTATCCCAGTTGCGCGGATCGATGCTCATGATATCAATCATTGGATTGTCTGGTCAAGTGGGGCCCGTTCTACAAAGCGATCTTAGCGCTACGACTGTCGTAAGCCTATGCTAAAGAATGGGAGTTACGATCATCTTAGCACTACGATCGCTTTGTGGAACGGGGCCCTGACTCGATTATTTACTGATATAGCTGGAATATTGGTGACATCGGCATTAAACAACAAACAAACAAATTATATCATGGCGTGTCAGCTTGATGTGAAGTGATGCAGACCTAAACTTGTTTACGACTTTGGTGAAACCCAATTGTACGGGTAAACAAATATTGAAACATAATCAGGATGACCCGGGATTCGAACCCACAATCATAGGTTTCTGTCACTCTGTCTCGCATAGGGGCGCCCCTCGTAGCTTCTACCATACAAATCGAAATGAACTCTGACCTTTGACCCACTTCCAACTCCCCTCGTTCTCGGAATCGGTCAAGCCGATCCACATCCCCTTCTCGGTGTAGCCCACATTTTTAATGGCGGCGAGAATGAAGTCTTGCGTTGATTGGTCAGTGATGATCGCGAGGGACCCTCCTTGACCTTCACACGACATCTTCGCCGTGTTCCACGTTCTGTCGTCGTAGGTGACGAAGTCGTAACACTTGTCTCGGAACGCCTATTAACAAACACACGGCTAGAACAATGATTTGTCATCCAAAACTGGCTCCCACAGGAGATATCGCTTGGGTGAGATCAAGCGATATCTACACTGTAGATATCGCTGCAATGAAATTGCATCACAATGCTTGGCAGACCATTATGACGTCATTGGTTACCATGACGTCACAATCAAATGACATCACTAATGGCTCTGCTACTGAAGCTGTTAGCAGTACTTTTTACATTTAAGACACTGCTTATTACTGTCTACAAACTGACAAAGTTGGAAGAATGATGTTGGATGATAAATAAAATCTCACCCTCGTGTCTTTTGATATCAAATATATCAACACTCGTTGATAAAAGTGGGAAAAAAACCTCGGCAAGCCTCGGAGTTTTCCAACTTTTATCAACTCGTGTTGATATATTTGATATCAAAAGACACTCGGGTGAGATTCTCTATATATCTGAAACCTATCCTCGTTTATCCATTAACTCACTCACTCCTCGACTATCCAGTGTTTTATATACGATTTAAAGGGGGATACTCGGAATTATTTTTTTTAAATTCCAAAATTGTAAGAGATATTAGTTTCTAGTAATAGGTAATAATGGGAACACATTACGAAAGGTGGTGAAGTATGACAGTAGGCGTTATGAGTGAGTGAGTAAGTGTGGTTTTACGCCGCTTTTAGCAATATTCCAGAAATATCAAGGCGGGGGGACACCAGAAATGGGCTTCACACATTGTACCCATGAGGGAAATCGAACCCGGCGTCTGCGGCTTAACGAGCGAACGCTTTAGCCACCAGGCTTCCCCACCGCCCCGTAGGCGTTATGACCGCTAACGATATTGAAGGACGATAGGGGGAAAGATGGGAAATTTGACGTTTGAAGTTGACGTTTCGAATCAGTAGTGCGTTATGACGCTAACATTCATTCACTCGACGAGGTTTACTGCGTATGATTCTCCCAACGGCGATATGAAGGAGTCTGTCCCACGCCTCTTGCAGCGCCTTGCCAAGTTCAGCCAACGTGGTCGACGGCCTATGACGTTGGTGCACACGTCTCCCTGTCATGTCACAGCCGTGCTCAAGGGGGGAACGGCCGAGGCACAATGCTGGCCATGGCTTTCTTTGGATCTTGTGCTGTGGAAGTGAGCTTTGATGATTCGTGCACGGTGAGCACGGGCGTTGTCGTCCTGAAAGACAAAACGTCGCCCCCCCCCCCCCCCCCCCCCCCCCCCCCACACGCCTTGCACACGGTTGTCAGTATGTATTGACCAGTGACCCTTCCTCGCTCCATATGGAGTGGGGTTCGCTCAGTCAAAGCGATACTACCCTTCACCATTACCGATCCACCCCCAAATCGGTCATGCGGTTGACATTGGCTTGACGTTCATGTCGACGACGTCAGACACGACAAAGCCTATCAAGGAAGTACAAAGTGAATCGGGACTCATTTGAAAGCATGCCAGGTGACCAGCGACGATTACCCCAGTGTCGACGTTGTGTACACCAATGACGTCTGTGGACAATATGACAACTTAAAAGGGGGGGGGGGGGGGGGGGGGGGGGGTTACGGGGGCATAACACGTGGCCGTCGGGCTTGGAGATGAGCTACATGTAGACGATTTCTAATTGTCTGACCGGTAACTCCTACTCTAGTAGCCTGATGAATGTTTGCTGCAATCTGATTCGCCGTTTGAGCTCGATTTCGTATTGACATTTCCATTATTATTATCATGATTATGTATGAATGTATTCTACATTTACACATTATTTTACAATCTCCGTGGTCAACATCAACAACATCTCATCACATTGGGTTTTTTTTACTTTGAGAGATGGGTACACACACACCCTCCTCCCAATCACCCATTTTCATCACTCCCAGATCCGACCCGTGAAGATCCGGGGTAGAATAAGTCTTAAGCAACCCATGCTTGCCGTAAAAGGCGACTATGCTTGTCGTAGGAGGCGACTAATGGGATCGGGTGGTCAGGCTTGCTGATTTGGTTGATGCATGTCATTGTATCCCAATTGCGTGGATCGATGCTCATGATGTCAATCACTGGAATTATTTACAGACCGCCCTCGTTTAGCTGGAATAATACTGAGTGCGACGTTAAAACAACAAACAAACAAACACGACCAGGGCCCACTTGCACAAAGCGATCTTAGCGCTAAGATGATCGTAACTCCCATACTTTAACATAGGCTTATGGTACAACAGTCGTTGCGCTAAGATCGCTTTGTGCAAGTGGGCCCTGATCCGCCTCTGGAGAGAGATTTGCACCTTTAAGTACGCTCCTCTGTTGAGTTGTGTCGGACATCGGTCCAGGTTCCCGTTCTGACATCTTCCTGCCAACACAGACACGTGACACAGGGAATTATGGGACTAAACTACCGGACTCGGCACAGGGGCAATATCAGCCTGGTTCCCTGGGTATGCTGCGCTGTCAGTGTAGCGCCAGCGCAGCATACCCAGGGAACAAGGCTGGGGCAATATGAGAACATAGTAATAATATTATTACTGTTTCACACGATATACTGGCAATGAAACTGTTGATAAAAACTACACACACTCTTTAAGACGATGTCGTCCGCCTTCCTGAATCTTTGAAACTCCTAGACGAATGTTGTCACAGGCAAAATTTGGGGCGTGTTGTTATATGCAGTTTTTTACAAAGCTAGTGTTATATGAGACATATGTTATCGGTTTGACAACCGTTTCATCAAAAAATGATCAATCGTACACGAGATAACACAATTTGACAAGACTTACCTGTGGATAGGCAGGTAGTTATTACAAGAACAGTTGCTAGTGAGGACGCGCGGGTCATGGTGAGAGGCGTCCCAGCTATTTATACATGACCCCGTGGAGAATTAAAGCACGTGGAGTCCCTGGTTGTACAGTGAGTGAGTGACTGAGTGAGTGAGTGGATGGGTGAGTGAGTGAGTGGATGGGTGAGTGAGTATAGGTCAGTGAGTGTATGGGTGAGTGTGTGAGTGAGTGTATAGGTGAGTGAATGTATGGGTGGGTGAGTGTATGGGTGAGTGAGTGAGTGTATAGGTGAGTGAATGTATGGGTGGGTGAGTGTTTGGGTGGGTGAGTGAGTGTATGGGTAGGTGAGTGTTTGGGTGAGTGAGTGAGTGTATAGGTGAGTGTTTGGGTGGGTGAGTGTTTGGGTGGGTGAGTGTTTGGGTGAGTGAGTGTTTGGGTGGGTGAGTGTATGGGTGGGTGAGTGTTTGGGTGAGTGAGTGTTTGGGTGGGTGAGTGTTTGGGTGGGTGAGTGAGTGTATGGGTGGGTGAGTGTTTGGGTGGGTGAGTGTTTGGGTGGGTGAGTGAGTGTATAGGTGAGTGAGTGTATGGGTGGATGAGTGTTTGGGTGGGTGAGTGAGTGTATAGGTGAGTGAGTGTATGGGTGGGTGAGTGTTTGGGTGGGTTAGTGAGTGTATAGGTGAGTGAATGTATGGGTGGATGAGTGTTTGGGTGGGTGAGTGTTTGGGTGGGTGAGTGAATGTATGGGTGGGTGAGTGTTTGGGTGGGTGAGTGAGTGTATGGGTGGTTGAGTGAGTGTATAGATGAGTGAGTGTATGGGTGGGTGAGTGTTTGGGTGGGTGAGTGTTTGGGTGGTGAGTGAGTGTATAGGTGAGTGAATGTATGGGTGGGTGAGTGTTTGGGTGGGTAAATGTTTGGGTGGGTGAGTGAGTGTATAGGTGAGTGAATGTATGGGTGGGTGAGTGTTTGGGTGGGTGAGTGAGTGTATGGGTGGGTGAGTGAGTGTATGGGTGGGTGAGTGTATGGGTGGGTGAGCGAGTGTATAGGTGAGTGAATGTATGGGTGGGTGAGTGTTTGGGTGGGTGAGTGAGTGTATGGGTGGGTGAGTGTTTGGGTGAGTGAGTGAGTGTATAGGTGAGTGAATGTATGGGTGGGTGAGTGTTTGGGTGGGTGAGTGTTTGGGTGGGTGAGTGTATGGGTGAGTGAGTGTTTGGGTGAGTGAGTGTTTGGGTGGGTGAATGTTTGGGTGGGTGAGTGTTTGGGTGGGTGAGTGAATGTATGGGTGGGTGAGTGTATGGGTGGGTGAGTGTTTGGGTGGGTGAGTGTTTGGGTGGGTGAGTGTTTGGGTAGGTGAGTGAATGTATGGGTGGGTGAGTGTTTGGGTGGGTGAGTGTTTGGGTGGGTGAGTGTATAGGTGAGTGATGTATGGGTGGGTGAGTGTTTGGGTGGGGGAGTGAATGTATGGGTGGGTGAGTGAATGTATAGATGAGTGAGTGTATGGGTGGGTGAGTGTTTGGGTGGGTGAGTGAGTGTATAGGTGAGTGAATGTATGGTCGGGTGAGTGTTTGGGTGGGTGAGTGTTTGGGTGGGTGGGTGAGTGTATGGGTGGGTGAGTGAATGTATAGATGAGTGAGTGTATGGGTGGGTGAGTGTTTGGGTGGGTGAGTGAGTGTATGGGTGGGTGAGTGAATGTATGGGTGGGTGAGTGTTTGGGTGGGTGAGTGAGTGTATAGGTGAGTGAATGTATGGGTGGGTGAGTGTTTGGGTGAGTGAGTGAGTGTATAGGTGAGTGAGTGTATGGGTGGGTGAGTGTTTGGGTGGTTGAGTGAGTGTATAGATGAGTGAATGTATGGGTGGGTGAGTGTTTGGGTCGGTGAGTGTTTGGGTGGGTGAGTGAGTGTATAGGTGAGTGAATGTATGGGTGGGTGAGTGTTTGGGTGGGTGAGTGTTTGGGTGGGTGAGTGAGTGTATGGGTGGGTGAGTGAATGTATAGATGAGTGAGTATATGGGTGGGTGAGTGAGTGTATGGGTGAGTGAGTGTATGGGTGAGTGAGTGTATGGGTGGGTGAGTGTATGGGTGGGTGAGTGAGTGTATTGGTGGGTGAGTGTATGGGTGAGTGAGTGTATGGGTGGGTGAGTGAGTGTATAGATGAGTGAGTGTATGGTTGGGTGAGTGAGTGTATAGGTGAGTGAGTGTATGGGTGAGTGAGTGTACGGGTGGGTGAGTGTATGGGTGGGTGAGTGAGTGTATGGGCGAGTGAGTGTATGGGTGGGTGAGTGAGTGTATAGGTGAGTGAATGTATGGCTGGGTGAGTGTATGGGTGGGTGAGTAAGTGTATGGGTGGGTGAGTGTTTGGATGGGTGAGTGAGTGTATGGGTGGTTGAGTGTATGGGTGAGTGAGTGTATAGGTGAGTGAGTGTATGGGTGAGTGAGTGTATGGGTGAGTGAGTGTATGGGTGGGTGAGTGAGTGTATAGGTGAGTGAGTGTATGGGTGAGTGAGTGTATAGGTGAGTGAGTGTATGGGTGAGTGAATGTATGGGTGAGTGAGTGTATGGGTGGGTGAGTGAGTGTATAGATGAGTGAGTGTATGGGTGGGTGAGTGAGTGTATAGGTGAGTGAGTGTATGGGTGAGTGAGTATATGGGTGGGTGAGTGTATGGGTGGGTGAGTGAGTGTATAGGTGAGTGAATGTATGGGTGGGTGAGTGTTTGGGTGGGTGAGTGAGTGTATGGGTAGGTGAGTGTTTGGGTGAGTGAGTGAGTGTATAGGTGAGTGTTTGGGTGGGTGAGTGTTTGGGTGGGTGAGTGTTTGGGTGAGTGAGTGTTTGGGTGGGTGAGTGTATGGGTGGGTGAGTGTTTGGGTGAGTGAGTGTTTGGGTGGGTGAGTGTTTGGGTGGGTGAGTGAGTGTATGGGTGGGTGAGTGTTTGGGTGGGTGAGTGTTTGGGTGGGTGAGTGAGTGTATAGGTGAGTGAGTGTATGGGTGGATGAGTGTTTGGGTGGGTGAGTGAGTGTATAGGTGAGTGAGTGTATGGGTGGGTGAGTGTTTGGGTGGGTTAGTGAGTGTATAGGTGAGTGAATGTATGGGTGGATGAGTGTTTGGGTGGGTGAGTGTTTGGGTGGGTGAGTGAATGTATGGGTGGGTGAGTGTTTGGGTGGGTGAGTGAGTGTATGGGTGGTTGAGTGAGTGTATAGATGAGTGAGTGTATGGGTGGGTGAGTGTTTGGGTGGGTGAGTGTTTGGGTGGTGAGTGAGTGTATAGGTGAGTGAATGTATGGGTGGGTGAGTGTTTGGGTGGGTGAATGTTTGGGTGGGTGAGTGAGTGTATAGGTGAGTGAATGTATGGGTGGGTGAGTGTTTGGGTGGGTGAGTGAGTGTATGGGTGGGTGAGTGAGTGTATGGGTGGGTGAGTGTATGGGTGGGTGAGCGAGTGTATAGGTGAGTGAATGTATGGGTGGGTGAGTGTTTGGGTGGGTGAGTGAGTGTATGGGTGGGTGAGTGTTTGGGTGAGTGAGTGAGTGTATAGGTGAGTGAATGTATGGGTGGGTGAGTGTTTGGGTGGGTGAGTGTTTGGGTGGGTGAGTGTATGGGTGAGTGAGTGTTTGGGTGAGTGAGTGTTTGGGTGGGTGAATGTTTGGGTGGGTGAGTGTTTGGGTGGGTGAGTGAATGTATGGGTGGGTGAGTGTATGGGTGGGTGAGTGTTTGGGTGGGTGAGTGTTTGGGTGGGTGAGTGTTTGGGTAGGTGAGTGAATGTATGGGTGGGTGAGTGTTTGGGTGGGTGAGTGTTTGGGTGGGTGAGTGTTTGGGTGGGTGAGTGTATAGGTGAGTGATGTATGGGTGGGTGAGTGTTTGGGTGGGGGAGTGAATGTATGGGTGGGTGAGTGAATGTATAGATGAGTGAGTGTATGGGTGGGTGAGTGTTTGGGTGGGTGAGTGAGTGTATAGGTGAGTGAATGTATGGTCGGGTGAGTGTTTGGGTGGGTGAGTGTTTGGGTGGGTGGGTGAGTGTATGGGTGGGTGAGTGAATGTATAGATGAGTGAGTGTATGGGTGGGTGAGTGTTTGGGTGGGTGAGTGAGTGTATAGGTGAGTGAATGTATGGGTGGGTGAGTGTTTGGGTGGGTGAGTGAGTGTATAGGTGAGTGAATGTATGGGTGGGTGAGTGTTTGGGTGAGTGAGTGAGTGTATAGGTGAGTGAGTGTATGGGTGGGTGAGTGTTTGGGTGGTTGAGTGAGTGTATAGATGAGTGAATGTATGGGTGGGTGAGTGTTTGGGTCGGTGAGTGTTTGGGTGGGTGAGTGAGTGTATAGGTGAGTGAATGTATGGGTGGGTGAGTGTTTGGGTGGGTGAGTGTTTGGGTGGGTGAGTGAGTGTATGGGTGGGTGAGTGAATGTATAGATGAGTGAGTATATGGGTGGGTGAGTGAGTGTATGGGTGAGTGAGTGTATGGGTGAGTGAGTGTATGGGTGGGTGAGTGTATGGGTGGGTGAGTGAGTGTATTGGTGGGTGAGTGTATGGGTGAGTGAGTGTATGGGTGGGTGAGTGAGTGTATAGATGAGTGAGTGTATGGTTGGGTGAGTGAGTGTATAGGTGAGTGAGTGTATGGGTGAGTGAGTGTACGGGTGGGTGAGTGTATGGGTGGGTGAGTGAGTGTATGGGCGAGTGAGTGTATGGGTGGGTGAGTGAGTGTATAGGTGAGTGAATGTATGGCTGGGTGAGTGTATGGGTGGGTGAGTAAGTGTATGGGTGGGTGAGTGTTTGGATGGGTGAGTGAGTGTATGGGTGGTTGAGTGTATGGGTGAGTGAGTGTATAGGTGAGTGAGTGTATGGGTGAGTGAGTGTATGGGTGAGTGAGTGTATGGGTGGGTGAGTGAGTGTATAGGTGAGTGAGTGTATGGGTGAGTGAGTGTATAGGTGAGTGAGTGTATGGGTGAGTGAATGTATGGGTGAGTGAGTGTATGGGTGGGTGAGTGAGTGTATAGATGAGTGAGTGTATGGGTGGGTGAGTGAGTGTATAGGTGAGTGAGTGTATGGGTGAGTGAGTGTATGGGTGGGTGAGTGTATGGGTGGGTGAGTGAGTGTATAGGTGAGTGAATGTATGGGTGGGTGAGTGTATGGGTGGGTGAGTGAATGTATGGGTGGGTGAG